ATAGTCGGGGCTTTAAGTAAAAATATCCTGAGCCTGAAACCTGTTTGTGGATGTGATGCAAATAAAATCCTAACACGTTGTTGTTAATCTGTGCAAAAATCCACTCCAAGTTATCGTTACAAAAAAATGGGGTAGTGGGGTATTTGTTCACCTACATCCCACAGAGCCAATTCATTTTTAACTCAAAATAAAGTTGCATCATCACCACCACTCTGTCTGTAACAGATCATGAATCACCTCAGTTCATTGTGTCCAAATCCTGTGTGAGATTTCAAACTGCAGATGTTCATGTTAACACCTACAGATGTTCATGTTGACATCTACAGATGTTCATATTAACACCTACAGATGTTCATGTTAACAGCTACAGATGTTCATGTTAACAGCTACAGATGTTCATGTTAACAGCTACAGATGTTCATGTTATGTCCATGAATGTGACAAGAGGTCATCTGCAGGTTTTAAATAGTCAAAACCTTTTAATCCAGTTTAAATGAAATTTAAGCCTGAAAACAATATAAATGTTGGTGATGGTTGGAGGATCCTGCTGTACAACCAAGCATGAAGTCACTCATTGAAACAATGAATAAACATATTCAGATCTCTGTACAAGTGCAGTTACATGTCAAAGAGACCTGAGATGACCTTTGACCCAAGGAGCAACTCTGAGCATGAGCCTGTCATCATAAGGGACTTTGTAACTCAACAAGTCACTCTATAAATGTGACCAGTCCCATCGAAACAAGGATTAAGTCTAAAAGTTGTGGAGAAATAGGCAGATAGTGTTTTGATTAAAACACTTGCAAAAATTACATTTTTTCAAACTATAACAAATAAATGTGTTATCAATGTATCATTTCAGTGAACTGTCTTAAATATTATCCAAAACATTTTTCTTTGAAGCACTTTTTTGAGCAGTAGCAACCAAAAACCCAATTTTGAGGACAAACGCTTAAAATGTTGAGATTTCCCCTGTGAGCTAGCAAAGCTTTTGTTTCTTTCCAGTTGGGAAATCAATATTCAAATACTGTTTGAGGGTTTTTTTTCAAATGACATAGAAAAACTTCTCTAAATGGACATAAAATTAGGATTTAGACCAAATATTTATGTATTATTGTAACCAATAAGACAAATTAAATCATATCTCTGGATCTACTAATGAAATCAGGATGATCTAAGTATCAAAATGTAGGTTTTAAAGCAGGAATCTGAAAATATGATGAGGTCATTTGGACAAAATTTGACTTAATCCTCATTTTGATGTAATGGGTCACAAAGTCCTAGGGCTTCAGATGGAAAGCACACATTCACTTCCTGTTCACAACTACAGCAGATTCACTTCCTGTTCACAACTACAGCAGATTCACTTCCTGTTCACAACTACAGCAGATTCACTTCCTGTTCACAACTACAGCAGATTCACTTCCTGTTCACAACTACAGCAGATTCACGAAGTGTAGTGA